TGAGATGTAATTATAAGTTACAAATGTATTTGTATTGATTTCTCACAGTTCAATTTCACAAAGATGTGTCTGATCATCAGCGTTGCCTAACTGGGAACTATTGTAAGTCCTAACTTTTTCTAAATCAATATCTAATTGTACAAATGATGTATATCAACCAGATACACAAATAATAAGCCGCCACAAATGTTAAACCTGCACCGGTTCCCAGGGGGGACTCTAAAACCTATAGCACACTGTCTGTCCTTCCTTCTTCAGTCCTTGCGTCCGAAAAGTTTGTCCGGGGCATATTTTCTATACTATTTCACCTGGAGTAACCAGATTTGGTTTACTAGGACATCTTGGGAAGGCGGAGTGTAGAGTGCAAGAATTGGGTCACTATGACCTCACTGTGAGCTGTGCTTTGACCTTTGACCTTAACTTTTGTTGAAAATGTTTGTAAGGGCATATCTTCTAAGCTATTTCACCCGGAGTAATCAGATTTGGTGTACAATGACATCTTGGGATGTTGACCTATTACCTGACCTTTGACCTTTACTTTTGAAAATGTTTGTCCAGGACATATCTTTTACCTGGAGTAACCAGATTTGGTGTAAAAGGACATCTTGGGATGGCAAGTGCAAAAAGTATGTCACTATGACCACACTGTGACCTTGCAATACTTTGCCTTGTTATTTTATGATTGGAACCAAAAACTACAGCATTGAATCAGAGCCCATACAACCTAACCATTCTGTGCTCTTTAGTTTGATTTAAAAATATCTCCACAACTCACCCCTGCAGCTCGGGGATCAAGAAAAGAATACACCTGCTGCTACCCACTGCATGATCGTAAGAGGCGACTGATGTGTAAACCCCCACAGAGTTGGGGATTTGCTTTTGTGTCCTCTTCTTGGGACATAAATAAATAAATCTGCTGCACCCATTGCTAACAACACAGAGCACAGGAGCATTGTAAAAGAATCGCACATGTACACATCATGTTACAATCACAGACCGATGTTCAATTTATGTATTTCAAGTATTACAATTGTATTTACTATCATACAAAGATTTCCAGCTCACCATCATCAGATGGTATGTGTGCTGTTCAATTCATTGCTTCTTTCAGATATCTCCATTACAATTAAAGATATCTATTACTTAAACGATATCTGTATTACATGTTTGTTTGAATTAGATATCTGTATTTCATTCTCAGATATCTCTGATACGGTTGTGACACTTTGTGTGTAACAGATCACTGTTCCACTTGACTGTTTTTTAGGTCACCTGAGACAAAGTCTCAAGTGACCTATTGCAATCGCCTTTTGTCCGTCGTCGTGCGTCCGTTAACAATTTACATTTTCGACTTCTTCTCCAAAACCCCTGAACCAATTTCAATGAAATTTTGCAGAAACCTTCCATGGCCAAAGGTCAACAAAAACAGTTGCCGGTTTGATCCCGGCCCCCAGGGGCCTGAGGGGCGGGGCCAAAAAGGGTCAAATTGACTAAAATTTCAAAAATCTTCTTCTCAAGACCGATATAGTAGAATCAAATACTCTTCATAGATGGAAGGGTCTTAAGGTGCTTTACCAAAATTGTGAATTTCTTGACCCTGGGGTCTCACGTTTCCCCCTGGGGAGGGGGTAAACTTTACTATAGTTTATATAGGGAAATCACATTTTGGACCAACATTTGTTTAATTTCCATTGGAAGTAATTCAATTTGGGTTAGCATTATCAGTATTAGGTAGCA